GGAGGGAAGGGAAGGGAGGGAGGGAGGGAGGGAGGGAAGGGAAGGGAGGGAGGGAGGGAAGGGAAGGGAAGGGAGGAAGGGAGGGAGGGAGGGAAGGGAAGGGAGGGAGGGAGGGAGGGAGGGAAGGGAAGGGAGGGAGGGAGGGAGGGAAGGGAAGGGAGGGAGGGAGGGAGGGAGGGAAGGGAAGGGAGGAAGGGAGGGAGGGAAGGGAAGGGAGGGAGGGAGGGAGGGAAGGGAAGGGAGGGAGGGAGGGAGGGAAGGGAAGGGAAGGGAGGAAGGGAGGGAGGGAGGGAAGGGAAGGGAGGGAGGGAGGGAGGGAAGGGAAGGGAGGGAGGGAGGGAAGGGAAGGGAAGGGAGGAAGGGAGGGAGGGAGGGAGGGAAGGGAAGGGAGGGAGGGAGGGAGGGAGGGAAGGGAAGGGAGGAAGGGAGGGAGGGAGGGAAGGGAAGGGAGGGAGGGAGGGAGGGAAGGGAAGGGAGGGAGGGAGGGAGGGAAGGGAAGGGAGGAAGGGAGGGAGGGAGGGAGGGAAGGGAAGGGAGGAAGGGAGGGAGGGAGGGAGGGAAGGGAAGGGAAGGGAGGGAGGGAGGGAGGGAAGGGAAGGGAGGGAAGGGAAGGGAAGGGAGGGAGGGAGGGAGGGAGGGAGGGAGGGAAGGGAAGGGAGGGAGGGAGGGAAGGGAAGGGAGGGAGGGAGGGAGGGAAGGGAAGGGAGGGAGGGAGGGAAGGGAAGGGAGGGAGGGAGGGAGGGAAGGGAAGGGAGGGAGGGAGGGAGGGAGGGAAGGGAAGGGAGGGAGGGAGGGAGGGAAGGGAAGGGAGGGAGGGAGGGAGGGAGGGAGGGAGGGAAGGGAAGGGAGGGGAGGGAGGGAGGGAAGGGAAGGGAGGGAGGGAGGGAATGGAAGGGAGGGAGGGAGGGAGGGAGGGAATGGAAGGGAGGGAAGGGAAGGGGGGAAGGGAGGGAGGGATGAAGGAGAAATTCTGGAGTTGGAGTTGGGGATGTAGCTCTGTGGATGAGTTCTTGCCTAGTATGTATGAAGCTTTGGGTTTGATCCCAACAGAGAGAGAGAGAGAGAGAGAGAGACAGAGAGAGAGAGAGAGAGAAATTCTGGAGTTGAAAGTACAGTAACAGAAATGAAAATTTTCACTAAAGCAGATTTGAACAGGCAAAAGAATCAACACACTTCAAGATAGGTCAATTAAGATTATCCAGTTTGAATCACAGCAAGGGAAAAATCAATAAAACAACCGCCATAATGACAACCGTTTCAGAGATCTGTGGGACACCATCAAGTGTACCAAATATACGAAATAGAGTCCCAAATGGAGAGGAGAGAGAGAAAGGGAAAGATATTTCGAGAATAATGGTGAAGACTTTCTAAATTTAATTAGCATTAATGTACACACACTAGAAGCTCAGCACATTCCGAGGAGTCTGAGTTCAAAGCAATCCAACGTAGACATATGATAAGGGACCAGAAGGCAAGGAGACTCTCAGAAGTGGCACAATGGAAGTGACAGGCACATACAAAGAAGCTGGAGGCTCAGAGGCAGCTCATCAGAAACCACCCAGGCCGAGGCAGGACCAAGCGCCGGCATTCCTCACCAGCAGCAGCTCTACCTGCTCATTCCAGAGGAACCGAGGCTGAGGACCAGTGCCGCAGCTCTGCCTCACGAGGAAGAGTAAGTCAATTCTGCAGGCTGGGGTGAAAGGAGAGGAAGAGAGTGCAGCTGAGTCGCCAACACACCCCATGTGAAACGCCGGACCCTGCCCCTGTGATGGAGGACAATCAGAGCTAGACATAGGAGTGGTCAGTTCTCACCTCTGCTCACCACTGTTCTGAGGGTCCAGTTAGAAAAACTAGGCAAGAAGATGAAAGGTGTGCAGACCGAAGAGGAAGAAGTTCAACTAGCTCTCTCTGCAGATGACATTGAGCCTGTATAGAAAGTCCTAAGGACTCACCTAAAGAAACAGGCAGAACTGATCAGCAAATTCAACAAGTTGCCAGAGACTAGATCAATATACAAAAATCAATTGTATTTCCATATACCGGCGATGGACAATCTGAAAGTGAAATTAAAACAATTCTGTTTATTATAATGTCAAAAGGATAAAACACTTAGAAGTAAATCTAACAAAAAAAGTTCAAGATTGGTACATTGAAAAATAATAAATGTTGTTGAAAGAAATTGAAGGCCTAAATATATGGAAAGACATCCCTTGATCATGGGTTACGAGAACCGGTGTTGTTAAGATGGCAATATGCCCCAAATTATCTACAGATTCAATTAAATCCCTATCAAAATGCTGCATGGCTTTGGGGGTTTTTTTCTTCTTGTTGTTGTTTTTTTTGCAGAAATTAATAGGCTGATCTGAAAATCAATACAGAAAAGCAATAATAGCCAAATTAATTTCAAAAAAGAAAAAGTTGAAGGTCTCACACTTTCTGACTTTGAAATTCACTACAAAGCTACAGTCATCAAACTTTGTAGGGCTGGTTAGGGACAGAAATGCAGGTCAGTGGGTTGAGCTGGAGTCCAGCGATGAGGTTCCCACAGGCAGCTGGTTTCCAGCAAGGGTGTCGACCCAGGGGAGAAAGATGAGCCAACAGTTGATTCTGCTCAGTGGAGAAGTGGGGGTGGACAGCTGGATATCCACAGGCAAGAGAGTGGAGTTAGAAGCCTTCCTGGTCCCAAATGCCAAAATCAACTCCAAATGGGTCAAAGACCTAAATGGAAGAGCTGCAGCTGTCACCTCTGAAGATAGAGATCTTGGTGACCTCGGATTAGGCACTGGCTTCTAGATGTGATGTCAAAGCAAAATAGCCAAAGTAAAATCAGACAGAGGGACGCCATCGCCACTTAAAATGCTGTGCCTGGAAGGACACCACCCAGAAGTGGGAAGACCCCCACGAGGACGGCAGGAAAGCTGCAGTTCACATGTCTGACAGGTCCGAATGCAGACTCTAGAGAGAACCCCAACGCCATGGTGAGAAGACAGTCAAGCCAGTCACACACTGAGCAAAGATCTGCCTGGAATTCCTCCAGAGAAGACAGACCAATGGCCAGCAGCATGTGTAAAGATGCTCTATCATCAGGAAATGCAAACCCAAAGCACCATGAAGATAGAGTGGCACCATTTCAGTGGCCACCAACAGAAGAACAAGTGGTCCGAGGACGCAGGAGGCTAAAGGCTAGAGCCCTGGACCAGGACGTGGGGCTGGAGGGCGTGGCCCCGGAGGGCAGGCTGGAAGTCCCTCAGCATCTGCACATGGTGTCAGTTCGTGACCCTCCAATCCCATTCCTAGATGACATTTCCGAGAGAATTGAGAATCTGTGTTTGCACGGAAACTCGGCCACAGTGTCAAAGCAGTCTTGCTCCTAAGAGCCAAGGAAGAGACTCCGCCAAACGTTCGCCAACTGATGACTGGATGAAGGACACGCCTCTCAACACAGCGGGGTCACTCATCCATAGAAGGGTGGGCCCCACCAGTGCTGCACTGCGGACTTGAAAAGCGTGGAGGAGGGCACCTGCCATGCGACTCCAAGGTCCAGACGAGAGGCCGCAGAGGCAGAGTGCTGCTGCGGGCAGGGCGAGGAGGGACCGCTGACCGCTGGGGGCCTCCTGATGTGATGCATCGGCAGAGATGGTTGCAGGAGTTTGTGAATTTACTAAAAGCCACTGAGGCGTGTTCTTGAGAAGAGTGAAAGTTATGGTGTCACAGTCTCATCTCAATAACAACTTAGTAAAAGAGGGAAGTTCCAGTTGCTTCTGTCCACAGAAGTGGGGAGGTGCTGGCAACAGAAGACCCACTGAGGGTGTCCACTGTGACCAGTTTTCTCCTTTTCTGGAGGAGCCAGATGTCACCTTCTGCCTGAGCACTAGATCTTCACAGTGAAGCGGATGGTCACCTCCCCAGCAAGCTTCATCCCACCCACTTTCTCCTTGAACTCACTCTGAGGAGCTGGCGTGGGCAGCCCTGGCAGGTCACTCTGCCCCAACTTCCTGAGCCACAGGGAGCAGGAGGAGGACACACAGGGCCTTGCCTCTGGGGTGCAGGAGGAGAAAGGCACACACAGGTTTGGAATCCTCCATTCCTCCAGCGCGCCTTCCCTCACGGCCAGACAGGGAGGGTCCTGAGCGGCTTCCTGAGCCCTGGAGCAGGTGAGCAGTGCCGCAGGTAGGCCAGCCTTCCTGGCCTGCAGGGCTCACATCCCCCTCTCTGAGGGGCTTGAGGGTAGGCTGTCCCCAGGAGCTCTAGGGCCTTCCCCCAGCCTCTGGCAGGCTGTAAGCAGGGCAGGGAACACATACGTCTTTATGTGGATTCACGAGGGTTTGGGAATACTGACTTAGAACATTTCAGAAGCACAGAAGGCCAGGCTCTGATATGCGAGAGTGCGTCCAGGAGTAGTGGACCTCACCAGGCAGCACCTGGCTTACATAGCTCCCCACACCTGCACTCCCCACCACGGCTGGTCACATGAAGTGGCTCTCTAGGGACACTCCTCCTCCTGGAGACTCACGGCAGGTGGGGGACAGGCTTCCCTACAGCTCCCTCGCCAGGCTGGCCAAGGCACCCCTGCCATGCTAACAGCTCCTTGGCATCCCAGGCTGGACCTCAGGACTGGATCTGTTTCCCGTATTATGCTCAAGCCATTCTGGAGAGTCCCAGCTGGGTCAGGTCCCTCGAGGGTCCTCACAGTCTGTGGCTGGGTGCCAACCCTGCCTGGTCAGACTCTCCCCTGACTATGGCCAGCAGCTGCCTGCCCCTACCTCCCTCGGAGCCCACTTCTGCAAACCCTAGAATGACCAGACTCTTCCAAGGAGGGACATGGGCCGTCCCCTCCCACAGCAAGTCCTCTGGCCTGGGAGTGGGATTTCTCACTCTCCAGGCCACCCCCTGGAAGTCCGCTGCCCTTGCTCATGAACTGAGCAGAGTGTCATGACCTGCGAGCAGGGAGAGGAGGGCCCCTCAGTGGGGACTGGGGGACGACGCAGCCCCACACTCACTCGGAACCGCCTTCTCGTAGCAGACGCCCTTGTAGAAGCAGCACCCAAGGTCCTTGCAGCGGTCCCTGGAGACGTTGTAGTCGCAGATGTCATACAAAGGAATGTCGCACACTGCAGAGGCACAGACACAGCACTGAGGACTGAGGCCACGGGCGGCGGAGGCAGAGGACGAGCCACTGTGGACTTAGGTGGCCACTTCTCTTGCTCTTTAAATTAAATTTCATGTGAATCCCACTTTGAAACTAAGATCTGTAATGAATTAAATTTCTGAACAAAATAATGCCAGTTAATCCCAGCACAATGCAGGGGCCTGGAGGATCGGGAAGATAACACAACTCAGCGCAGCGCACATGGGGCCCAAGCTCGGCAAGACCCCAGAGGCCTGGGGCCAACTCGTGGCCGTTGTGGAGCTTGGCTCCCACCCTTCAGCATTTAGGGGTTGAACCACCAACATGGGCTGAGAATTATTTCAGAGTTTAAAAGTCAATCCAAAGGACAGAAACTTCAAATCCTGTTGTGAATCCCCAAAAGGAGAAAAACGAACACCCAGTGCCCTACTGATTAAAGCAGCGACCTCTAGTTCCTGGCAAGGCACCATCCGCAGCTGTGAGCAACGCAGACCCTCAGCTGGCACAAGGCACCTGAGGGACCACACTGGACGGGTCACAGCTGTAAAGGGATTTCACACAAGCCCAGGAAAGGGGGCCTCTGCAAGCCGAGGCCAGAGGGAGGGCAGGAACCCTGCTGCAAGCCATGCTTCTATGAGGCCAGGCTTGTGTGCCCAGACGGGTCTGCTCCGGGCCATGGGGTCTCTGCCATTTCCCCTGCAGACTGTCAGGAGGGGACAGGGAAGCCACCCCACCTTCCTGACCTCTGATGACTTTGCTTTCCTTCTCCTCCCTTTCCCAAGATACCCCCACTCTGGGTTTGCAAAAACTGTTGCCAGAGTATTGCCCTTGGCCAGAAACCCCAGACTCAGGAGGGCCTCTGCACATCCCCAGCAGCAGCTGGCCCAAAGACACCAGCCAGCCATAGGGCCACTGGGGTCCTGCATGCCAGCCTCCCTGCAGGCTGCATGGCTGGCACTGCTCTGCGCTCTGTGGCCTGGCACTGTGCTGTGGCATTGGGGATCTATCTATCCGCTGGCCCTGTTTCTGGCATGGTCGGACTACTCCCAAAGGCCTGGGGACAGAGGGGCAGTTATACTGTGGATGGATGCTGCATCCTGTGCTCACTTTCTCCAGGAAGGTGTGTTTAGGGAGGTGACTCTGCGCTGATCCTGCTTCCAGGAAGTCCAGACATGGGAACCTGCCTCAGGGAGCAACAATCCCTCTGTAATGGAGCACTGTTCCAGGGCAGGCAGTGCCAGGAGCGCCCAAACACCACGTCCATACGTGGCTCTCACCAGAACTTCCACTCAGCCGGTGCCTATGACAGTGGTGCCAGACCTGTAGCTCCCCTGCAGGCAGAGACCCATGGCCACACGGAGCAGGAAGCCGCATTGGCACAGACTGGCTTCGGACTTGAGTTCTACTTTCTCCACACTGTAAAGCGCCTCCCCTGCCCCACCAATGCATGGGAGAAGTCCCCCACCTTCAGCAGTACCTCCCCAAAGCATTGGGGATCTATGCACTGGCCCTGTTTCAGAGAAGCAGGGGGGCCAACGCCTCACTCCAGCACCTGATTCCTGCAGAGCATGGGCAGGAAGTGCCCCGTCGAGGAGGGGAAATAGCCACGTGTGGGCTGATTTGTTCTCTGCACCCTCGGCACAGGGTGCACAACACCCAGACATGATTTCTCATCTTGGCTCTTTCCGTAGCTTTACGCCGTGCTGGCTCCCTGGCTGGTTGTAAAATCCTGTCCCCACTTTCCTCTTTAATCCAGCCAGTGGCATCCCGGGCCTCTTGCTCCATGGTTTCCCTTCTCTGGGACTGCTGGGTTTTCAGGTACCTCCATGTGCTGACACATTTCTTAAAGGCACTGGACCCTGCGGGGCCTCTCAAACGTTCCGTTCCTGCCGTGACCCCTCTGCCCTGCTCCACAGCCCAGGGAGACTTTGGGTCAGGTAAGCTGAGCGTCCTGGCACAAGGCCACTGCAGGGTCGTCTTGGTTGGAGACACATCCCGTCTCCACAGTCCCCAGGTCACATCTCTGCCTGAAAGCTCTGAATGGCAGCTTGCTCAGGAGCCTTGGAGGTCACTCATGAGCTCTGGCAGTGGTGGTGTCAGGGCCACCGCGTCAGACTCAGGCTGGGGCAGACCCAGGTTGTGGGCTCCACCTGAGCTGCCGCCTCACAGAGCCACCCTGCTCTGTGGAGGAGGAGAGCTGAGCCTCAAGACAGCCCCAGGGCTTCCACCTGCTCTGGAGAAATAGAGGCCCACAGGCTTGTGCGTGCCGCAAAAGAAGCTTGGGAGCTCCCCAGGTGGAGCTTGAGGGCCAGGTGGGCAACGTTGTCCCTTGTCCCCTGAGAGCTGTCATGCACCCATGGGAATGAAACAGCAAATCTCTGCTGCTGCTGCTGCTGCTGCTGCCAACATTATAGAGACCCCTCACAGGACAGGAAAAGGCAGGGGTCACCAGGTGCTCAGAGGTGGCATGGAATGGTCAGTTTTCCAGCCCCCTTGGGGATCCGTCACTGTGTTTAAATGTGGCTGTCCAGGAGGATGGGGTGTTCCCACACACCCCTTTCCACCACCTCCCTCTCCTTTCTTCTGATCAAGTTGCTCTTGCATGACTACTTGGAGAGGAGATGGTAAGGTCAGGGACTTCCGTGATGTGGCACCTCAAATGTCACATGCCAGGTGGGGGATGTTCCCCTGACTCTCCCCCAGATGTCTTCCCTCCTGTCTTAGGAAGGGTTTGACAAGGAACCGAGCCGTAGGAGACTGAAGCACACCTCCTCCCTACAGAGGAGCAAGAGATGCTATCCCCGTCCCCGCAGCTCCACACAAGGGTCCAGACTGCCTGTGCTCCCCCTCCCCGTCAGCTCTCGTGCACCAGAGGCTGGCCTTGGGAGAGCCCCAGCAGAGCGTCTCCAGTGTCCTGCCCCACAGCTCCATGCCAGCATCGCCACAGACACAAGGCTGGTCACAGAGTCTCCACAGCAGGGACAGTAACCATAGGAGACGTGCAGGGGCGGGGCTTCCCCATGGAAGCACAGCCCCTCACTTTGAGGAGGAGAAGAGTGTCCTAAGGAAAGTTCTCTGAGAGCTCAGATCTCCCCACCTTATCCACCGTGAAACCAGGCCAGTTCCAGGAGATCACTGCTGGGCAAGCTGCCAAGGCCTCAGGGCAAAGCCTGTGCCCTCAAGGGACTCGGGCCACCACTGGGCACCCTATGCCTGCCCATGGTACCATCATCACGGAATTCAGCCAGATGTGTTGGAAATGACACTGTGAGTTCTAAACTTCCCACATCAGCTGTCCTGGGACATGGACACCAGCTCTCTGTGGAGCTCAGGAACCAGAGGAGCGAGGAACAGGGAGACACCTGGGGATCCCACTGGGATGGCTGAGGCCAAGACCCATTCTGTGCACAGAGGCCTGCACCAGCCCAGCCAAAGCCTAGAGTCCTTCAGAGATTCTGAAGTCAGGGCAAGCAAAGCACAGGGCCATAATCCACATGGCCCCAAACAGAGAATTCAGACAAGGGTCTCCTAACAGGCACTTCTGACCAGAGGAGGGGAGCCAGCCGCAGCTGAGTGTCTCCAGGGTCCTGCACACTCCTCAGGAGCCTCCAAGGACAGCAGTGGGCGTATGCAGAGGGTGTTTGCACAGCATTCTGCAGAGACAATTTTAGTTACTTTTCACAGAAACATTATGAAGGAATTGACACAAATTCAGGCAGACAGACAGACAGTAGGCAGGTGACTTGTAATAAGCCAAAAGGAAGGCTAAATGCACAGAGGGGACTCCCGGCTCCTCAGCCTTGCCTCCAGCCAGGGCTGGACACCCCCATGTGAATGGAGGCTGGCGGTAGCCTCCACACCTGGCCCTGTTCCTGGGAGGCTGCTCTTCCTCCCTTAGTTTGGACATTCACACAGACTTCCTACCACACCGCCTGGACAGGGCCTGTCACCTGCATGATGAGGGCCCTGGGGAATGAGGTGGGCAGCCATGGGGCCCCTGCAAGCTGGCTGGGCTCTGCCCTGCCCTGGTGATACCACTGCAGCCAGCATCCCTTCCAGCTGCCTGCCAGGGCTCAACACTGCACACGCCTGAGCTAGCCTGACACAGGCCAGGCAGTGCTGCCCAAGCCCAGCCTAGGTGCCACGCAGTTCAACAAGCCAAGACCAACATGGCGGTCACAACAGCATCTATAAGGGATCACTGGGACAGCACAGTCCTGCTCCAACATCACCCGCCCAGTCCCAACAGCAGCAACCAGGAAACAAATGAAGCTTCCAGAAGCACTTGGAAGCAGGGCTTGCTACAGGTCAGTGTCAAAAGTGACAACGACCTCCTGCCCCAGGAAGCAGTTCAGACAGTGCCCTGGCTTTCCTGTGCACCTGAGGCGACCACTTCCCCTGGCCCTACATCCCTTAGAGGGTTTTGGGAGCCAGCCCCAGCACCCCAGGTCCCCTCACAGAGGAACGTGGACAGTGGCCTCTAGCCTTTCTTCAGAGAGGGAGGCCAGGCCTCCAGTTTGTGTCCACACCAGTCACTGGTTGTCGTGATCCTGAGTGGATATCAAGAAGAGATGCCCATAAGGCCTTGGGAACAGACTTCTTCTTGTCTGTCCTTGTCACTGACTGTCTCCCTAAAATACTGGAAGGCCACAGTGTTGGCTTCCAACCATCCCTGCTACTCTCTGTGGCCCTTCCAGATAGAGGACCCACTTGGCCTGTTTTGTGTGTCCTGGATCAGAAACCATAAACAGCCCCTGGGGGCATCTGTCCAAGGAAAGGCCTGCCTCCCTGGATGATGGAGCCTCCTGGGGCCTCCTGGCCTGGAAGGCCGTCCAGAGTGGCAGAGCCCTGGAGTGGGAGGTGGTTTCCTACCTGGCTGGCCTGGGAAATGCTCCCTCACCTACCTTCTAAGCAAGTCAGACACAAGAAAACCAAATTCCTTTTCTTTTCCTTCCATTTCCTTTTATTTATTTTAATGGTAATATGTGAATTCCAGGAGTTCAATAACATCCAAATCTGAGCAAGGGAAGGTAGCATTTCCTCTTCTTGCCAATTCCCAGTGGTC